ATTACAAAAAATTCGATCATGGATTACAAAAAATTCTATCATGGGTTAACAAAAAAAAAAAAAAAATACGATCATGGATTAAAAAAAAAAAAACAATTTGATCATGGATTACAAAAAAATCGATCAAATATTACAAAAAATCTATCATGGATTACAAAAAAAAAAAAAAAAAGAAAAAACAAATTATGTTCTTCCGTACGAGACTCGCCGATTCCGTACAGTGAATCGGCGAGTCACTGTGCAGAATCGTCCGGTTCTCTCTATAACCGGACGATTCCCATTTTTTTCACCGATTCGATTCGTCCATGGCGATTCCCGAGTCGAACAGGGCGAGTCCGCGTTCGACTCGGCGTTTTTTTAAACACTGGTGTGAACGATTCCGATCTGAATCAAGCGATTGTGATTCATATCTATTGATTCCGATTCGAATCACCAAATTTTTAAACCTTGGTCGGAACAATATAATGTTCATGCCTTATATAAACACTTCCCATAAAAATTTCGGAATATTATAGATACTACCCTTGACCCTACTTTCTAGGTATATATGTCCCAAACTGGCATCATTTTAAACTATGTGCTGATCCGGCACAGAATGTGACAAACAGGCTTCATTTTAAACAATGTGTCAGTTAGACACACGTTATGCCTGACCGGCTTTATTTTGAACAATGTGTTAGTACGACACAATAACCACACAACCAACCCCAAATATGTTTATTTTTGCAACCAACCCTCAAATCAAAAAGTGAATAATCTCCATTTCTCCAGCTTAGTATTCATATGTTGTATTTTTCTTGTCACATTAATTAACAAGTGCACCATTTTTTTTACTGGTTTACCAAACTTCTAGTTTTTTTATGGCTTGATAACATTCTATACAAATAGATTGTGTTTCTTGCATCATGGTTGTATTACACTTCTATCAATTGTTTTGAATATCTAATGCCTCATGATTATGGGGATTGGCAGTTGTTTGCCATTTGTTTTTGTATTTTTGTTTAACTAATCCGTGTCACATCCTTATTTGAGAAACTGCCCGTTTGGATGACAGTTCACTTCATCCATCAACTTTTTCAATTCTTTTTAAAAAATTATTGCTGAGTTATTGCAAAGGTTTTCTACATTATTTTGCAAGTTGTGGCAACACTCTATTATAAATATTAGCTTCCAATGAAATGGACATTTGGAACCCGGATAGAAAGGAGAAGAGTCCCATGGCTGTGTATTTAAAAACTAGTACATGATTTTGCTGACATCTGGAACCCTGCTTGCTAGCTCTATTTCTCTTGCATTTTATGTCATATTTCCAATTGGAATTTTTCATGCATGGATCAATGCTTATTGATGAAGTTTATTGCATTAATCAACAATCGATAATTTTGAATGGTGTTGGCAATATTGAATGGTTAGCTTTCAAACTTTTAAATATTTATTTCTTAAATAAATGATATATGTTTACTCTTGAGGGCAGCTTGTGCATTGAGTAAAGTTTTGATATTAAGAAAATCAATTTTCTTCAATATTTATGTAAATATTGGTATTCCTTGAATCTATTTTCATGTTTGGTAATATGTTAGATGAATGAAAGGAGCCTTATTTAATTACAAAATGTCTTTAAAAACTGCATTTCACACATCATATCAATGAAATACACAATGAACAATATTACGGTAGGGGTGATTCCCAAGGACACCGCACTCAGAGTTATCAAATGCTCATAATATACATTTCTCTTACGTGCTCTGCATTTTCTTAAATGATGCCGATCTTGCACAACGTGTGCTGGACTAGCATCATGTTAAATTATGTGGCAGTCCAACACACATTATGCCGGATGGACTTCATTTAAAAAAATCGAAGCTAGTCCGGTAAAAATGTGTCGGACCGGTACATTGTTTAAAATAAAGATGGTATGATACAATGTTGTGTCGAACCGGCGAATTGTTTAAAATAAAGTTGGCAAGGCACACATTGTGCTAATCTAATTTGATTTCATCTTGATAAAAAGTATTATATTGGGGGTATTTTTGTCCTAAAAGATGTTAACTTTTGAACTTTGGGGAGGTAGAAACAATAAATAGTGGGATTAAGGATGTAATTTACAAAATGACAATCAAATTAGAGCCTACCTTCAAATAATATCGAGAAATGTGGATTCAATATTGGAAATCTTTGTGATAGCCTTAAAATATATTTTCATCTTTCTTTATAAAGTTTAACGCTTCAAAAATAGTGTAGATCAACAGATCTATGACAACTTGAAAATATTGAAAATAGACGGTCAAAAAATGCATTACAAAATATACTATTTTCAAAACTTGAAATCCATTTTTTTTCTCATGTCCATGCATCTTGATGATCAATTTGAAGATATTTGGGCATCAAAACAACCTCTTCTAGTGAAATTTTTGAGGTAGGCTCAAATTTGATTGTTTACAGCCTCGGTTATATATATAAACTTTACCATTTATAAAAATTTGTTGTTGGGGAAGGCGTGGGGCAGAAAGTGGCATCAATGTGGTATTTATAATTTTTTCTAGAAATTAAAAAATACAGTTCCTACTCATATATAGAAAGAGTAATGATCCTATAGGACCCTCTCCCATCCATGTGTGTAGGACTACAAAGGATCACCATTAAAATTGGCACGGATCTCTAAAAAAGTTATCGTGATCATTTGGGTTCCTACACACATGGGTGGGGAGGGTCCTATGGGATCATTTATCATATAGACATACAACACCTCTTAATAATTTATTTTTAAAATAGATAATGGCCCTATTTTCTAAAGAATATATAATGAAAAATGTTTCGATAAGACTGCAATTCTATCAAAATAAGTAAAGCCGCATCTCATAACTCAACAAAAATTGCAGTTATAGAGTTGAAAAACCTTCAAATCGATCATCTGGGCTTGACGATTATGGTTATGAAAAAAATAGGATTCCAAACCCTAAAAATAGTTATATTATAAAGGGAAAATTACAAAAAACCCCAAGACTACACTTACTATGCAACTTACCCCCAACCCAACTTATTGTCTCACTTTTTCCCCAAAAGTATACTTTCTATGCAAATACCCCTCAACCAAAAAATTTTATTTTTTTTAATGGAAATTCCCTTCCCATACAAAAATAATCAATTTCGCCACTTACAAGGCCTTCACGTGTGGTAATGCCGGAGCGTGCATTGAAACTGCTGGAGCGGGAGTACTTCGAAGCACGATCGAGCAGTTTCAAAGCTCGGTCCAGCAATACATGTTATGGAAGTACTGTTGCTCCGACAGTTTCAACGCATGCTTCGGTAGTACTACATCGCTCTGGCAATACCACATCACTTCGGTAGGTTGAAAGCATAGTCCGAAAACACTCCGACAGTTACCAAGAGCGTTTCGGTAGAAAAGGTTCTGTCAGTCATGCCGCTCCGGCAGTTTCAAAGTGCGGTCCAGCAATACATGTTCTGGAAGTACTACCGCTCTAGCAGTTTCAATGCATGCTCCAGTAGTTTGAAAGCTCGGCCCAGCAGTGGTTGCTCCGGCAGTTGCGAAGAGCACTCTAACAGATAAGGTTCTGTTAGTCACAATGCTCCGGTAGTTTCAAAGCGCGGTCCGGCAGTACATGTTCTCGAAATATCGCTACTCCAGCAGTTTCAATGCAAGCTCTGACAGTACCACATGTGAAGGCCTTGTAAGTGGCGAAATTGATTATTTTTGTACGGGAAAGGTATTTCCATAAAAAAAAAAAGGAACTTTTTTGGTTGAGGGGTATTTGAATAGAAAGTGTACTTTTGGGAAAAAAGTAAGAGAATAAGTTGGGTTGGGGGTAAGTTGCATAGTAAATGTAGTATTGGGTTTTTTTTTGTAATTTTTCCTATTATAAATTATAATACATTACCTTGGTTGTCCATGTGAAAAATAAGTGTTCATGGATCTGCAAGATCTCGAACATTTTTTGAACACCAAATTTCATAATCGATGTTTGAAATTAATTTTAAAGCCCTCATAAAATTTTTCCAAAGTGCTTTACGAGGATTCGTGGTAAAGCTTTCATTTCTTTTCATAAAGCATTAACCTTATAGAAATGGGCAAGCTTTCTATGCTCCTCCTACAACATAGAAGTTCTATCCTCCCCCTACCATCCAGCATCCAATTTTGATCAAGAGAGCTACTCACCGTTTGATCTTAGATCTGACGTCTCAAAATATTTTATTTTTAGTTTTTTTATACAAATTGTATGAATATAAAATTTGGTACGTGCCATCTTCTCATTGGGGGCACCTATAAAAAATATTAAAAATAAATTTTCGATAAAATATAACGATCAAAATACGCCTTGAAACTTTTAAAGGTATTTTGGTCATTTTAGTTGATTGAAAATAGTTTTTTTATATTTTTCGCTAGTGTGAGTTTGATAGAGGAATGAACGTCCAAAATTTGTTGTCAAAACAGTTTATAGAAAAAAAATTAAAAATAAAATAATGTAGAAATATGATATTGTGATTGAAGCAATTTTAGCCCTCTATTCAGAATTGACGGTTGGATGAAAGGGAGGATAGAACTTGGAGGAAGTTGAATAAAGGGTAGGATAGAAGTTGTAGGAGAAGCATGGAAATCTTAACGAAAGGGCGAAGTATAAGCTGACATATTGTACTTTACAATAAGAATCAAATAACGTGCATAGCACGTACTCGTGCTAAGTAAAACTTTAAAACTCAGCGGTGTCATATTTCTGGACACAGCGCCAACCGAGAGAGAGAGAGGGTGAGATTCAGAGAGGTCAGTCTAGAGAGAGAGGGGAGAGGCTAGAGAGAGAGAGAGGAGAGAATGGGTTTGCAATGGGTGATTCTCTCGTATGTGGTTGCAGCAGAGGCCGCTGTTGCCCTATTTCTCACATTACCTTCTCCAAGCATCATAAAATCTCGGATCGTGAGCCTTGTCTCCTTGATTTTACAGCCGGCCCTTGGAATAGTGCCTTTTGCTGGTTTCCAGCTCATGGGTTTGTTCTTTTTCACTTCCAAACACTCTCCATGAATGGATTGAATCACATGGAGTGCCTACTTGTTGTTACATTTTTTTATTTTTAGGAATTTTTCTCTGGATTTTTAGCATTCAAATTCTTTTATTTTCCTTTTGTTTTCAACGATGGACGAAAATTTGTTTATTTTTTTTGAAATATGTCTAACCTCGGCGAATTTTTTGTGGAGATATCTATGTTTATTGATGAAAAATGGTTCTATTCGTCTGCCTATAGTCATCGCGGTTGGGATGTAAAGAATTTTACTTACTTCGCATAATTAATTTGTGGTCCTTTTCTTCTTAGCAACTCTCTGATTCCCTGTGTTGTTCTTTTATGGGAATCTAGGGGGGATAAATTCCATTTTTATGTTGATTTCTTTTACTTATTCAGTTTCTTAATTGTTACTTTAGTTTGTTAAAGTGGTTTTATTTGTTCTCATATGGAAAAGTTCTTATTTGTTCTAAAGTTGAAACTTATGGTACTGTTTGGATTCAGATGTGTGTTTATTTAAACCCTCTTATCGCACTCTCTGGATTCAGATGTTGTATTTGTTCTTCAATAATGTACTGGGCTATATGTATCCTTTAGGTTTCAAACCTGCAAAATTTTCTAGAAGCTATAGGTGTAGGAAGGTGGAGTTCGTTCTTCTTGTTCTGACTTCTCTATGTAAAATTTACTTGCTATTCAAATGAATGCAGATATTTACTGGAAGCAAGAGCATCGCTTGATGTGTACGTCTGAAACATGTACGGCAGCTGAAAGGGATCGATACGAAAAATCAGTAAGTTATTACCTGATATCTTCTACTTGTTTCATGATTGCTTTAGGATTGTTATATTTGCAAAGTCTCCCTCCCTCTCTCCCCCCAAACCCTCCCCCGCCCGCCCTTCTACCCCTCTTTCCTCTTTCTATATTTCTTTATCTTTACAAGAATGTTCATCTGCCCCTATAATCGATATACATGCCTGCTTTTTGTTTTGCACACATGTATGTTTGTTTTTTTTTTTGGAGAGAAAGGTTAACTTTGTAATTAAATGGTGAGAATACATTTGGCTAAAACCTTAAGATGGCACTCCCACAAGTTGGGTGCTCAGACAAACAAAAGTAGTAAGAGAAGAAGGAGAAAGAGGGAGAAGTACAAAGTAAAAGAAAAAAAAGAATAAAACGATCTACATCAATAGAAGTGATCGGAGTTCAACTAACTCCCCAAAAGTTCTGTATCCAGGCTTAGCTTACGACCTGCGAGCTTTAAATTGCCTTCATAAGCTGACTGTGTTGGTGCGAGAAAAGCAACCGACGTTCTGACTTGCTTCCTTTGCTTGGAGAGGGAGCAGCTCGAAGAGGTAAAAAGGGATGTTGGTGAGGTTATAACGATGTGGAGGCAAGATAGAGAATACTCGGAGATATTGTGGAGCAAAATGGGGGCTCCGGCTACTGGTGAGAGGCCAGCAGACCTTCCACACCCGGAAATTCTTTGAAATTGTTAGGGGTTGAAATTTTTCCCATTGTCCGATTTCTTTTTACCCCAAAATTACTCGTTCACCTCTGTTCCCTATCTAACTTGATCTTTCCCTAATTTTTCCCATTGCACACATGTATGTTTGTTGACTGTAGTCTATTCTTATCCTCATTGATCTGGATTTGGTTTTGGTTGGCTCTAAGCAAGAAAGCAAAACCATGATAACTAATTTAATCTTTGACATTCAGTTGTTTCATAAACATGCAAATTAAATCAATAGATGGGTCTAACTGGATGAGTAATCGAGCACCTTGCAACCCCAATGATTGCAATGTACACATATTTTAATAGTATAACTTACACTGTCTTTTATTATTATTGTTATTTGGTTTGCAGTACATTATTATATTCCCAATTTTGTCAGTAGTGCAGCACACGTTTTCAGAGCCTATAAGTATATTTGCTAACATTTTTGTGAAAAATGCAATTGGAATAAAGCTTGGAATGAACTTCATTGCTTCTTGATGACCGAAATTACGTGGATAAATCTTTGGAGTTGGATTAAAGATCGGATTATTCTTGAGTAATTCAAATTATGGAGAAATATAGAGAATGGCCATTTGGCTTTTTAGGATAACAGTACTGAAACACTTCCTTTAGCTGGTTGAAGTATTTAAATCATTCCATGATTGCACATTCGCTTTCAGATCTTTCTTTTCCTACACTTTTAATGGATTGCCAATCTCAGCATGGGTATTCTTGCACGTCATAACGAGACAAATTATATTCTATTTGTTTTCTTTTTCTCTAGTCATGGGTGACTTGACTTGATGAAATCTCTATATTTTATAGTGCTTTCATTGTTGCAAATCTTATCCACAAGTTGGTATTGCAACCACAATAATAGACCTGAGAATCTTTGTTGAAACAATCTTACAAACTTCAGTATGGTAATAGGTTGGCCCTAATCCTGATTCTTAAAAGAGGACTACGATCCTAACATTGTGGTGAAGTTTCAGGCCTGGGCTACCTTGATTCTGGCCTTGTTGGACTGGGCCGGTGCTGGTCGGGGCCCTTGGATCGCTGGTCATGCTGAGGTTGGTCTAGACTTGGTCCAGGCCCGAGTCACTTGTGGCCTTACTCAAGCGGGGGGTTTGGGATTGTGGGTGTGGGGTATCTGACTCAGGTAATCTTGTTTGAGGTGCTATAGTTGCTTTTGCAGACTAGGTCCACGAGTCTGGCAAATATTGAATCCGACATGGTAGCCGTGTTTATTCTCTTCTTGGAACTTTCCTTCATAACAAATCTCTCAGGTTACATCCACGACTTTCCTCAACAGGCTCCTGTATGCTATTGTGTCCATGTTCTTCCCTTTATAGTGATTGTTGACTATAGTTCTCATTGATCTAGGGAGTCCTGAGAGAAGTAGTCCAATATAGAAGGTCTTTTGACCATCTGGCAAGTGATGCACACATTATTGGAAGGCGTTACCATTGGAGATCTCTTAATGAGACAAATTTAAGGCTATGAGTTATCGATCTACTATGATTCTCTGCCATGTCCTCCATTGGCTCGTAGAAATGGATCTGAATGGTGGTGAGGAGGCTCTCATCTGAATTTGGTATTTGGTTCCGGAGTGAGTCGGGACTCCTGTCCCATCCTCTTTTACTTCAATGCTTCTCCGGATAATCCGCCTTTTCTCGTCTATCGAATTGATCCCACCATCACCTCAGGGTGCCAATGAATCCCTGAGTTAGCTTATTCAACACTTCAGCTTTCATTTTTCTGCCTGTCATATGAGCATTATTATCTGCAATCATCAGGCTGAGCATCTCTATAATCTGCTCTGAATTTTCCCATCAATGCACCAGAGATGGTTCTATAGTTGAAGTGTTTAACCGTCCTTGGAACATAATGGGGTCTTCATGTCAAATTGGTAGGCATTGGTTGAGCACTTTGAGGCTTTCTTTGAATAGCCTGGATTTTCCGCCCTGGGTAATCTTCTTGGGGATAGCGTTGTCTTTGGTTTTGATTCCGAGTTGTCTGAGGACTAATTGTCTGGCTGTCAACCTCTCATGGCACTTAACTTGCATAGTAGTAGGGAATGGGAGACCAATGGCTACCTCGTACTCTCCTATGGATCTCTGTGCATGACTGCCGCTGGTTTGTTCCTCCACCGTGAGTGGTTTTTGGGAAATCATACTGTTCGCAAACTGCGATACTAGTCCCAACCCAGTTTGAGGAACTTCCTTAGTGTTAGAAAGAGAGCAGTTTAAATCTCCATCGATGATACCAAATTTTCGACTTGCTCTGCTAGATTCTTCCCCAACTTTTGGTCGATAGTGTTTAGCGCAGTATTGGTCTGATTTAGTTGCCGGTGGACCTTGTCTTGTGCTCCTCTTTTCAATCCTTCTGTAGAGGAAACGGGCACTGCTTGTCTCTTATCCTCTTCGTCCAGTGACTCCAGTCTAAATAGTTCAAAATAGGGGAAACGTTGACATCTCCAGCTGATTCCCTGTGGCTGAGTTCCATAGAGGTTTTGCCACCACTGCCATTTTTTTCCCATAAACAAAGTCAGAAAGAGATCTTCTGTCCCTCTTTTTGAGCCTTGATTCAGAGGCCTTGGAGGTGGGTCATCTACTGCTCGTTAATCTCTTGAGCCAACATTCTCTATGGTGTTCACTGAGGTACTCTTCATGCGGTGTTGCTGTAGCCCCAGTGATAACAAGGGCCTCCCATGTCGTAATCTCCTTTGGGTGAGATTCGAAGTCCTTCATACTGCATCTCTTTTCCAGGAAGTAGGGTAGTGCTGAAGAGATATTTGAGTCGAAGTCAATAATGACTCACCTAGCATTATCCCCAGAGATACTTCCCCTCGGTGGTTCTACTGTTTTTGTTGTCTGGTGCTCCAGAGCCCAGGACTTTGGGTTTCCAATTTCAGCTGGTTTGGCTTTTTGAGGGATCATCACCTTTCCCTCTACATCGTCCTCCATGTAAACGCCCTCAAATCTCGCTGGGCTATGATTACTAGTGTGCAGATGGTTACTGCTTGGTAGCATACTTTCTGGGTAAGAGCAACATTGATAGATCCGAACATGAATAGCCTCTAAACCAAGTCCTTTGCCTACATATGATGACTCATGGCTTTAGTATTACAAAGCCCTTCACTCTTTTCTACCTTGATTTGGGCTACACTTCAACAAGAGTGCATTGGCTATGAGTCACACCTAACTCCATCGAAAAGCTGGGTCGCCCCTTATGCTATCAACCAGCTATCCGCAGCCTTTTACTCACCTCTCTACTGTGCAATGGGAGTAGTCTTGCGTAGAGCTTTGATTCTTGCCACACTATGTGCTATTTTTTTTTTTGGTGAGGGAGGGGGAGGGGGGGGGGGGGGGGTGTTGGGGATTCCATAAGGGCGCGTTTGGCAACCGGGAACTGGAATTAGAATTGGAGATTTCCAATTCTGAAATCTAGAAGGCAGAAAATTGAGTCTATGGTAATGGGAAATGCTATGTTTGGTTAACCAGTCTAGAATTAAGGGGATTTCTGAAAACTGTGTTTGGTTTATGCTGAAATTTCGTAAATTATGATATTTGAAAGTCAGCCAACTTCAACCCTTTATTAAAGTTTTTGTTGATGGTATGGTAATGTTTGTTAAATAAATTAGATTTCAAAATCATAGCTCATCTATGATAGGTCTAGCAAATTTACACTCAACGTCCCAAAAAAAAATAAAAAAGATTAATTGGATAAGGTGAGAGCAATTCTTAGTATTTCAATTTTTTTTTCCTATACATCAAATTGAGCTGACATCTTTAGCGTCTATACTTTTCACCCGCAATAACCTATTAAAAATATTGAAAAATAATTTGGAAAAAATATAATGATTGCAATATCCTTAGGGATCATTAAGGGTATACATGGGTGTTTCAATTTTATTTTATTTTCTATATACATCGGATTCAGCTAAAATTGTCGGAGTCTATGATTCTTCCCCTCACGAACTTGTAGAAAATATAAAACATTTTTTAGAAAAAATAGAATGAATCGAAATACCCCTGAAACTCCACATTATAGATCACCTAAAATACTATCGATGACAGTCGTATCTAGGTTGGATAGTCCAGAATATTCTAGTGTTTTTTTTTTTTAAATGTATTGGATGGATCTAAAATTTTGGGTGTCCATACATCTAAATAACTTGCTCCTATAAAAATATTTTGTAAAAACCGACATGATGGATTTGGCCTTAAAACTTTGAGGGGTAGTTTGGTCATTTTGTTCTATATAAATTATTTTTTTGATATTGTTTATAAAAAGCAGCCTATTAGGCACACATGCCCTCTAAATTTCATCTCGATCTGGTTTTAGGAAAAAAAAAAAAGTAGAAATATTTGAAGTTTTGTACACATTTTCCGAAATGCACATTTCCCATTGTCTGAGCAATTTGCTCTTCTATGGGTGTGGTGGAATTCTAGCTTTCTCATTTTTGAGAATGTGGTCATCCTTTTGATGTAGCACTTCCATTTGCCAAAATGGGAAATGCTACAGTTTCAATAATTTTGCATTTAGCAACTAACTTTACAGTTTCCAAACGACCCCTAAGAGAACTATGATAGCCTCAGCTGAATATGCAAGAGATCTATCTCTTGGGCAAGGAATTTCAAAACCTTTAGATGTCTTTCAACAGCAAATTTAAGGTCCAATAGGGCCAACATTTTTACCTTCACCCATAAGGAGGTCCAAGGTCTAGATCCATCTCTTGGATACCCTGAAGCCTAAGCTTAGGTGTTATCGAGCTTCACATTGATGAATGCTCCCATGATAACCCTCGGCATTGTGTTTACAAGGATATTTTAAAATTTGACAAGGGACACTCTTATCAACTTTCACTGGGTATCTCGGCTTTGGGGATTCTTCTTGGGCTCAAGCAAATGCCATTCTTGAAAGATGAAAAGATTCGAGGCATCGTAGCAAGAACATCTATCGGTAGAAGAAGATTCCAAAATTTTTATCCTATGGGTGCATCACCACCACACGCAAGGTTGAAGGCAGGGAGCCTCGAGGGCCGGTGGGATGAACGAGCTAGGCAAACCCACGCAGCATGGGTTGAGGGCTCCATGGTGTGCACCTAGGCACACGGTGCCACGATGGCCTACGCGTAGCCCGAGCAAGGCACACCCGCACAGTTTACCTGGTGGGCACCGAGGTGTGCACCTAGGTACACGGCATCGCAAGGGCCTGCCGGTCGCCGAGCTAGGGACACCCAAGCTGTATGCCTGGTGTGCACCAAGGTGTGTGCCTAGGCACAGCGCAACAATGGCCTCCAGGTTGCTCGAGCTGGGAACACCCGTGCGGTATGTGTGGTGAGCACTAAGCTGTGCGCCTAGGCACAATGCATCGACGGTCCACAAGTCAGCCGAGGCGAGGCACACCCATGCAATATGCGTGGTGAGGACCTCAAGGGAGTCTTCTGGTCCTTGGAGACTATCTCACATTGTTCGACCATTTATCACTCGTGGACGCCTCTTCAAGTTAACTTCCGTCATACTTGCTGGAAGGCCAATGCAACGGTTGATGGTTTTACTAAAGAAGAGCTGAATTATAGCACTGCATAGTTATTCTCTCATTCTCTGATCCTACTGTTCATTTTCTACAATCATTTATCTCTATTTTTTCTTCTATCTTTTTTTACTCTTCTATTTTCTGCTAACTGTACTATCTCTCCTTACCTGTCCATCTCTCCTTATCTATTCTATTCTCCTAGCTCTTCTATTCTCTCCTCTTATCTCTTTTATCTTCCCATCTGGTCCCTATCGATCGCTTTCTCTAACCTAACATTTCTCTGTTTCTTCCCATCCTCTTCACTTCTCTTTCTACTCTCCTTTTCCCCCTACCTTGGTTTTGTTGCTATCATTTCCACTTCTCTCTCTACTTTCATTTTCTCCCTCTACCTTTCTCCTCTCCCTCCCTTTCCTTTTCTCCCTATTATATCCCAAGTTTTAAGTCTATTATATACGTAATGTCCCCCTTTTTGTCTTTAGAGGGCCTCTTCTGTTTTCTTTTCTTTTTTTGGTTTCTCACGTGTTTGTACATTTTTAGCGAGCACCAGACCTATGGGCTGCCTCATCCCATCTCTTTTGGGGATACTTTTGTAAACATATTATACATTAATATATAGTCATCAGTTAACTGGGAAAAAAAAAAAAGGCTTTTAGAATTTTCCATTCAATGGCTGGAGCGGAGAAGAAGATATGTCTTAAACTAGTAGTTGTAAAGCAAATTCAAAGAAAGAAAAGAAAAGAAAAAGACAAAAAAAAAGAAGAAAAAACAGAAGAAGATGCAAAAGTTTCGCAGAAGTTTTGGTTTCCAATATTGTTGGTTTTTTAACTTGGGTTCTTTGGTTGAAGTGACTTTACTTTGGCCAAAAGAGTAGAGAGCGCAAAAAATGGATGACAAGTTCCATTCCCTGCTATGTTTCAATCTAGAGGCTAGATTGAAGCAACTATAGCAGATGTCCCTCCCGCTGCCTCTTGCAGTGGCGTCGCATTTGACATCAAGTGACCTCAACATGGCATCAACATCCATTTGGTTGGATAAAAAATGACCTGCTCACCCTGCTCTTTATGTGCATCATGCCATGTTATTAACATCCATATAGATGGGTGGAAAATGACTAAATATATTATTGCTAGTGAACAGCTGCCAACAGGAAGCTGGATTGATCAAATTATCACTTAGGCTCACCTGTGGCAGGTTAGAAAATTTTACACACAGACATCATATTAGATAGGTAGGTAGGTAGATGTGTGAGCTTGTGCGTGTATCCAAGTGGAATGGTTTTTGTGTCCTGGATATTTATTTATGTAAAAAACTCTGGTAGAAACTTGTTTCTTAATTTGTGATTTTTTCCAACTTTTGGAATTGTGATAATCTTCACTGTGGTGCTTAAAGTGACTGAAACTACATTTCCATATCTCAGAGTGTGTTTTGGCTTGTGTTTGTTGTTAATATCTGGGTTGAATATTAGTTTTCAAAACTTGAACAATGGCGGAATTCAATAAATTTTGGCTGACCAAAATTTGAACATGGCACCATTTGAGCTCTTCGATATGATGATTTTGGCCAACTTCAGTTTGAATTTTGACTGTTCTATTAAACCTAAACCCAGATTATAAAGTCGAATATATGGATTTAGGATCCTCACAGATTTTGGGGTTGGCTGAGGCCTAAAAATGATTTTGGCACAAAGTAGCGGAAAATTCAAATAATAATTTTAAATGCCACACGTGCGCATATGCATTTGTGAGTCAGGGTTTTTCTTTTCATGCATTTTCTTATGTATTTCTTTTCCAGAGGTACTTCATTTGAGTCTCAGTCCACTCTTAGTCTGCTACAAAATTCATTGTCCAAGTATATGCTGATTACTTTGTGGTGACCTAAACACAGATATATAAAGCTCAAAGAAACGCAATTCTCTGTTTGGCCGCTTGTCTTCTTTACTGGTAATTAGTGACGACTTTCATCTACTGAGCTTGATCCCTTAACCTTCCATTTATCTGGGCTCTGAGAGAGAGAGAGAGAGAGAGAGAGAGAGAGAGGAAGAGAGAGATACATCATCATCAACAGAGCCTCTTCCCAAAGTATTTGGGGTCGGCAGAGGGCTGATACATGTTTGGGATTTTATCTTGTGGTTACAAATGCAGGTTTGTGCACCGTATCTGTAACTACTACAAAGAACTCCAAAGGCTGGAAGAAGTTGAGAAGAGGCGCAAGAACTTATAGGATTTGTAACACTAGGGAGCTTAATAGGAGACCCTCTTTATGTTTATCTGCACACTGTTTCATTCGGCGAGTCTCTCTTTCTTGTCTGTTCTAGTACAGCTAGTTTTGAAGTTCACTAACCACTTGGAAAAATTTGTTATATCATAGAATCATCTGGAAACTGTTGTGTTTCTGCATACCCTTCTTGTGATTGTATGGTTACTACGACATTCATGGTATACCCATCTCATTTCTATTCCAAGCTCACTTGGCTTTGGAGTTTGATGGTATCAGGTTCTCTGTGCTCAAGCTGGACGAGATAAGGTGTCAACTAGCCAAGCTAGGTAGGCTTGGCTTGTTATGAGCTTAGCTGGACCAATATTTTATAGCTTGATGAGCCAAGCCAATCGGGGCGTGGCTTCTTGTTTTCTAGACGAGCCGTCACAAGCTTGGCTTGAGCTTGTTTAATGTATTACTAGCAATCATCATATAATAATCAAGAAATTGCAACAGAAAAAAAGGAAAAAAAAGGGGTTTGTGAAGATTTTGAAATCTTTTCTACTGGGTAATTTATTATTCTTATGCATGAATATAATAGTCGGACTCTAATATGGATTTCTTACCACATTCTCTATAGGGCACTCTTATCTCTTATTTCTTGGAGCTCGGGTCATTGAAATGTTATATAACTAATATGATGCTGATAGCAACATTATAGGAAATAATCTATTGAATAGGAAAATATGACTGTCTTTTGATGCTTGGATGTTAGACATGCTTTGCCAAATGAATAAATTGTTTATGGGGAAAAGTTTATATAGAGCCGAGGCTCTACACAATCTAATTTGAGCCTACCTCAAACATTTTATTAGAAGAGGTTTTGATATCCAAATATCTTCAAATTGATCATCTCGGCATCAAGATCTCGACATCAAGATGTATGGGCATGAGAAAAAAATGGATTTCCTGTTTTGAAAATAGTGTATTTTGTAACACGTTTTTGGGCCGTCAATTTTCAAGATTTTTAAGTTTTCATAGATACGCCAATTTATATTATTTTTGAAGCTTTAAACTTAATAAATAAATATGGAAATATATTTTAAGGGTATTACAAAGATTTTCAATATTTAAACCACATTTCTTGATACTATTTGAAGGTAGGTTTTAATTTGATTGTTTAGAGCCTAGGCTCTATACACACCGCACCTTTGTTTACGTATTTTTGTCTAGCATTTAATTTTTTTAATATAGCAAGTTAAAAGTAATGTAGAGATGATATTATTATAATCATAATTCAGGTATAGCTATATTTTACTCAAAAAATAAATTTCAATTATATTATTGTTATTATGTCTTTTATTGGGTGGTTATCATTGTTATTATGTTAATACACAGAGCATAATATTTAGTTGAAATTTTAGAAGTGCCACATAATTTTCATATTTATAACTGAGGAATTGATTTGGCACCAACTTATTACTCAAGATACTACAAAGCTATTTTGTTAGAATTGGGCGAGAGAGAGAGAGAGAGAGAGAGAGAGAGAGAGAGAGAGAGAGCAGTTATACATGTAAGAGAAATCAGGAAAATAGAAAGATCTAGAAGAGGAATAAGAAGGAGATATAAAGATATAGGATGAATACTTCACTAAATGATAGGGAATGAGAGTACAGAAAGTCCAGAAGCACTCTAATGAAAGCTTTTGAAAGAAACTTAAAATTGCATGTAAGATAGGAGGCATTTTACACTTTGAGAGGATTTTAAAAGAAACTTAAAATTGCATGTGAGAGGGCATTTACTCAGCGAGAGACAGTGAGAGAGACTATTTATGGAAGATTTAGAGAGAGAAGCTACAAAGAGAGAATTGAGGAATCCATAAATGGTAATATGAGTAGAATTGAAAAGTCCCCAATGTAAGAAGAGAGAGAAACGCTCAACTGAATTGCATGTGAGAGAGGGCCTTTATACGTGGGAGAGAGTAATTTTTGTTTTCAATCTTACTTGAATCTTAACCCAAAACTAGTGTTCTTATGCAACTTACCTCAAATTTAACTTTTTTAACAAATACCAGTCAAGTCATAAAAAAAGATAAAATAAACACCAAAATACCCTTTGAAAAGCATGCAGTCCAGCACAAAAAGGGGGCGGTTTGACATTGGCTTTTGGAAAACATGCGGTCTAGCACAAAATAGGGGCTGTCTGGTACTTTGGGCATATGGTCTGACACACAATGGGGGCGGTCTGGCACTTTGCTTATGGAAAGCATGCGGCCCAACACAAAATAAAGGTGGTCTGGCACTTTGGGCTTCTGGAAAACATGCAGTCCGATACAAAATAGGGGTGGTCCAACACTTTGAGCATGCAGTCTAGCACAAAATGAGTATTTTCGTAAATAAAATATGACCTTTTTTATTTGGGGGTAATTGCTACAGAGGTTCAATTTGGGGTAAAAATTGTTAAAAAAAGCTTTTTTGGGAGTAGGTTGTTTAAAAAGTGTTACTTTGGGTTTTTTTTTTTTTGTAATTTTCCCTAAATCTTATTAATCAAAGAAAGAATTAATATGCTCATCAACAATAAACAGAGATTCCAAATGCGTTCCATATTTTCGCTAACCCATCTGCCAATACTATCAACCCCTGGCACAAGTCCATAATGAAAATAAACGATCTACCCCTAGCACAAGTTCATGGTGAAAAGAAACAATGAACCCCTGGCACAAATCCATAACCTCAGCCCAAATATGAAGGGACCTATATGGCGGTTTAGGTTTACTGATCATCTTACACCAATTTATTACATTTTGGAATCTACTTCAATAACACAACTAACACCCACAAACCTTTAATCCTTGTAACAAACCTCTAAATTCTGGCAAACTAGGCAACTCAACTAACACCCACAAACCAAACCTATGCTTGAAAACCTTTAATCCTTGTAGCAAACCTCTAAATTCCGGCAAACTAGGCAACTTCAAGTGCATCATTAATATGGGTGACTCCTAGGTAACAATAATTTATACCCCCATCAACTGAAATACCCACCCCCACAATGCACTAGCAAAGGAATAATGCAAGAAAACATGATCCAAATTTTCTCGTCCTCTTTACAAAAAATACAAACATTCATCAAAGGTGATCAAAATTTTCCCTGTACTCTTTACAAAAAATACAAACATTCACCAATATATTTCCTCTCTTTTGCAAGTTATCAACAGTTAAAGTTTTTCCTTGAAGAATCCAGAAGAAAGCTTGAATTTTATGAGGAATTGGAAACCTCCATACCTTATTCAAAGGGTGATGCACCTCTCTGAATCTGTCATGAAATAACAATCTGTAGGCTAATCTCGCGGTGAAGATACTATCATTTTCCAACTCCCTTACTATGATATCTTCCGTATTAGAAGCAATATACACAGAATTCGGCTCTACATTTAAGCTTAACCACTGTTGTAAAACTGCTGCTTGCACTCTGTTATATATCTGAGTTCCACAATCCAATGTTCACGACTTCCTTGATTAACCCAAATCTCTGCCACCTTTTGTATTTTGGTTCATGCTCTTGCTGTAAACTTATTATGACAGAAACCAACTTTATCCCATTTGCCCACATGCCTCATCACAACATCCTTCACACCAGCAATAACCTTCCAAAACCAGAAGTTTGAGGTCTGTTTTTGATTGAATAAGTCATGATACAATCAACCGACTCTCCATACTTCGCCTTTAAAACATTACACCCCAAATGATCTTCACAATGAGGAACCCTCCACCACAGTTTGGCCGATAACGACTAATTGACTAACTTCAATCTGCGAATTCTTAAACTTTAGAGAAAATAAAGATTTTCTTATTTTATAATCGATCTCTTTTGTTGATTTACTGAATTGAGATTCACTAGTGGACTCCTTTTATAATTTCACTGCATACTCTTATACTGATTTTAACCTGTTTAATTCTTTCTATATCCATCTATATATCTATTTATAATCTATAATATGAAACGTGAATTCCCTGAAGAACACGTCTCACAATATTTCCGGTTTGAAGGCTTGACATCATCTTTACAACGAGCTATAGTTTTAATGGTCTCACGGGTACATATACCAAAGTATTTCTCAGCAATGCGTTTATACAAAGGAAATGTTTCTATGCTTCTCCTACTACATAACACATATATACTTCCCCTTCATCCAGCCATCCAATTTAAATCAAGTAAGCCACTAACCATTTAATCTAGATCCGATGGCTCAGAGTATTTTATTTTTAATTTTTTTTACTAATTATATGACTATAGAATTTGGTATGTGCTATCATCTCAATGAAGCGCACTTAAATGAAATATTTAAAAAATATTTTTGGTATAATATAATAACCAAAATACCCCTAAAACTTTCAGGGGTATTTTAGTTATTTTATTTTATTAGAATTTTTTTTAGTTATTTTTTTTGGCTTTTTATAGGTGGGAGTTCAAAAAAAGGATTGGACGCTTAAATTTTGGTATCAAAATGTTTTTTATAAAAAAATTAAAAATAAAATAATATAGAGGGTGACATTATGATTGGTGGATAAGGGGAAGTATGGAAGTTTTACGCCTTAGGGAAAGCATAGACCCGTTTATAAATACCCTTGATGTAATAGTTGAGGACACGATTTCTATGAGGCCACCCCACATATTGTAGAAATGACGGCTAAGTAATAAATATATTTTTTAAAATATAATTTGATCCAAATTTTTAGAGAATATATAATCATTAACATAGAGATCATGAATATGAAAAAAACCAAAAAAAAAACTAAAAATAATAATTATATTAAGAATACATTTGAACCGTTGGGTTACACTTGTTTTAAGATGCTATTGGCATCCATCTTTAAGATGGATGCTTTATACCTCGGGACCCCATATTGTAGAAATGTGGTCCAGCCCACATGAAACAATTTTTAATAATTAAACTAAAAAACACTTAATTTATATTTTTATAAATAAAATATAGAAGTAGGTTAAATTTTTTTGACCAAAAATGATGAGAAAGGTCGTCTATTGTAGAGCTATTTAATTTTCCCATAATACCCCTCGGTTTGGGGATGATATCTCAAACCGATTTTTAAATTTTTTTTTAAGTTTTTTTTTTCGATTGTCTGGGCCATGTCCGATGTTTTAAGACAGTTTGCAAACCGGTCTTAGGTCCCCCATCCTTGGACCACCCGATTGTGTGATTACATAACATTATAGGCAGTCCATGGATGAAGATCTTGGACCGTT